CCGAGCCCACGGCCACGGCCCACTTTACGGCGCTGCGGGTCTGAAAGGCGTCCCCTTCTCTAGCTGGATTCTGCGGCAGCGACACGGCAGCCTATTCTGATATTTCCATCTTATCTCATTCTCTCAGGGACTCCTTGTCTCTCAGCTGGTTTTTTAATCCTCAACCAAGAATATGTTTTCATTGATTTGAGAGAGAGAGGGCGAGAGGAACATCCGTGTGGGAGAGAAACACTGACCGGTTGCCTCCCACAGGTGCCCTGACCAGGAACCAACTTGCACCTTTTGGTGTCCGGGACAAGGTTAGAGCTGAGCTGCCCGGCCAGGGCCTCTATTGGATTCTTTTACAAAGAAATGTATCGGCTCCCAATATGAAGCCTGGTCTTTCACATTCTTTCTTTCCTGTGTCCAGCTAGGGCCTTCAAAACATAAAGCCGTGGCAGAGACAGCATCAGCTGACTCCAATGCTCCACATCACATGCGCACACACGCATATACACGTGCAGACATGTACAGTGACACAACGGTACACACGTGTATAGAGAAGTACACGTGTGCATATACATGCACATATATACTGCATACAGGTGCGAACACATGTACATATGTGCACGAACACACATGGATATGTGTAGACATACACAGATATATACGTACACACATGTGTACATACACGTAAAAACGTGGATGTTACGAACACACCTACATGTATAGACATGCACACACATGTATAGGTGCACACAGATGTGTATAGATGTGTACAGACATGTACACACGTAAAGATGTTTCCGACGCACACAGCTACCCCCAGAAAACACTATGATGTCACATCAATTTGGACGGTGAGGTACTGGCTCAAAACAGGCAAGTGAACCTAGGAAAGCAGCCCCGGAGGAGACTGTCTGTGGTGTCAGGCGCCAGAGTGGTCAGCGGGGAGGCCCGGACAAGCAGCGCACCAACCACTATGGCAGACGGACACGTCTCAGGTGCGCCCCCTCTCGGCTGGACGGCACCTACCTGCCTGTGGTGGTGTCGGCCCGGCCCTCCCCGGCGGAGCTCTTCTCCTGCCCTGGGGCCAGGGTCACGGTGGAGGTCGTGTCGGCCTTGGCGATGGTCACCTCCCGGGCCTTGGAGGTGTCCTCCCCGCAGTGGGGGCAGTAGCTGGCGTTGCTGACACGGGAGGCGCAGTCCTTGTGGAAGCGGTGCGAGATGCTGCTCTCGGGCTGGCACTCCATGAAGCTGCCCTGGGCGGGAAAGCGAGGGCCGTGCTTTAAAGGGGGCTGAACGCAGAAAAGCAGACGCTGTGCTGAGGGAGGCCAGC